TATCTTACTTCATGTATGTGACACATTTAATGATAAAAATTATAAAGTACGTAAAACATCTATTAAACTGCGGACATGAATTAACTGCTGAATTATAGTTTTACTTTGTATGTAGCATAATAATGGACCATATTTGATAATCTGTATAAATATTTATATATTTTAAAATTGATGGTATTTTATATTGCGTTTGTTTTAAAACACTTTTAAAAATATTACGTTTTTAGATCTTATATTGTTATATGCACATATTACATCATTACAATGTTTTAAATGATAAAAGTATCAAAATTATGTAAACGTAATTTACGTGATGACCCATAAATGTCTATCTGGAAGGAGGGTCATGCAATGGCTATCACTCTGATATTTACACGTTGCTAATATAGATTAATTAATCAAATATAAATAAAACACACTTTTTCCCTTAAGTAATAGGCAATCAATCATCCCAAATTTTTTACTTTTCAGCAACCATCGTGCACAAAATTTTATTGTTTTTGAGTTTACAGAATGATCATCGTGATTTTTGAACACTGGATATAATCACACTATAAGTTTTATTAATAATATTATGCCATGGTGATTTTCAATATTTTAAACATGAGATGGTAATAAAAATATTTCAAAAACTGTTTTAGATTAAAAATTAAATTAGTCTGAAATATTTTATTACAGCCTGGGAATTTTAAAAACTCATGCTCTATTATGACCTAAGAATTTCAAACTCAAAGAAAAGGGATAGCGTATCCAGACAAAAATACTAGCATAAAAGTGTGTTGCAAACTTTTGTTTTAAACGAATACAAATCTCTATAAAAGGGAGATAGTTAATTAGTTTCTATAAAAGCGGATAGGGGCCGTCCACACATGACGTCACATTCGTAGGGGTAGGGATTCCGTAATATTGTGACGGTGTATGGTAAGGGGGAAGGGGGGTAGCATTTAAAAAAAAGCAGTGCTCGAAAAAAAAACTGTTTTAATAAATTTTAATAGAAATTTATTAAAAAACCTCTATGTTGACAGAGTTCAGACACTATTTTGGAACAATATCGATGTTTTAAGTAAAATTCAACTGCAATTTTGAGAGGGGGTTGATGGCTGAGGTGTGACGACATTTTAGGGGGGGGGGGGTTCTGGCTTTTTGTGACGATGTGTGACGGAGAGGAGGGAAAAATAGTGAATTAGTTTATACAAAGGGAGTTAATAGGTTTCTTATAACTCAACCAATCGTTTCAGCTTGTCAAATCTTTCTTCTTCTTCTTCGTTCGTGTTGAAGGGGATCGAGAATTATCTGCCAGTGTGTTTGAACTCGAGACTTTGTTCAAATTTATCAACCATGAGCTTTTTGCCGACTCGACCACGCCTCCAACACAATTAAGCGTTACGTGTCAACTGGTTATGCGCCATTGAGGCCATTGACTCCGATTTCAGCCTGCTTTTCTTTTTTGGATTTGCTTCCATAGCCTTTGTCCAACCAAGAACAAACTAAAAGGCAGCAGTTGTTTAATTTTGGAGTTGTCTCTCCTAGAAGAGTGGCTGTCCCCAGCTAACGAGCCTCATCTGCCCCGGGGTTCGAACTCGAGACTTTTCGGTTTAGCAACCATGAGCTTTACCGACTCGACCACGCCGACCCCAGCTTGTCAAATGATTGGTGTCTTATCTCTGTTTACACCTATCGTGTTAATTTTGTCAGTTTCTCACTCTGTTCAGCACAACATGACGTCACCACTGGTCAGTATATTGAGTGGAGACTTGAACTGGTGAGAATATTTTTAGGGCGAATTTCCTTCTGATGTTAAAAACACTTTAGATAAAATCATTCGGGACATTGTAATTGATATGTCAATAGTGAAATTCGCTGATCTAAAAACTGAAATTGTATTTAAAAAGATAAACACTAGAAGCACTTTATATCATACTTTATTGGTCCACTCGATTGTGCCATATTATGGTCATTTTGTATCATACTTTGTTGGTCAATTCGATTGTGTCATATTCTGATCATTTAGTTTCATACTTTATTCTTGACACTTACAATGTCTTATACTTTACTAGTTATTTGATCTGTATCATTCACTGGTCAGTTGGTCTGTATCATTCACTGGTCAGTTGGTTTGTATCATTCACTGGTCAGTTGGTCTGTATCATTCACTGGTCAGTTGGTCTGTATCATTCACTGGTCAGTTGGTCTGTATCATTCACTGGTCAGTTCATCTGTATCATTCACTGGTCAGTTGGTCTGTATCATTCACTGGTCAGTTCATCTGTATCATTCACTGGTCAGTTGGTCTGTATCATTCACTGGTCAGTTGGTCTGTATCATTCACTGGTCAGTTGGTCTGTATCATTCACTGGTCAGTTCATCTGTATCATTCACTGGTCAGTTGGTCTGTATCATTCACTGGTCAGTTGGTCTGTATTATTCACTGGTCAGTTGGTCTGTATCATTCACTGGTCAGTTGGTCTGTATCATTCACTGGTCAGTTCATCTGTATCATTCACTGGTCAGTTGGTCTGTATCATTCACTGGTCAGTTCATCTGTATCATTCACTGGTCAGTTGGTCTGTATCATTCACTGGTCAGTTGGTCTGTATCATTCACTGGTCAGTTGTTCTGTATCATTTACTGGTCAGTTCATCTGTATCATTCACTGGTCAGTTGGTCTGTATCATTCACTGGTCAGTTGGTCTGTATCATTCACTGGTCAGTTCATCTGTATCATTCACTGGTCAGTTGGTTTATATCATTCACTGGTCAGTTGGTTGGTATATCATTCACTAGTCAGTTGGTCTGTATCATTCACTAGTCAGTTGGTCTGTATCATTCACAGGTCAGTTGGTTTATGTAATTATTTATTCTGGTCAGTTTGTAGGTTCACACTTTACTACTGCTAGTCAGTTAGTCTACGTCATTCACTGGTCAGTTAATGTCATTGTTTATTCTGGTCACTTATTATTTTTCATACTTTACTGGCTAGTTTGTATGTCATTCTCTTGCAAGTTTGTAACTTATTTTGTTATGTCCGTCAATGTGATACGTTACCTCGATTGACCTAATGAAGGTCATCATTGATTTATTCAGCCCCTGACAGATTTGAACATTGATACTTTCCTGATCATCGATTTGTTCTATTTTTAGATTCTAGATTTGTAAGGCACTTCGTCGGTCAGGTTGGGTCGGCTGTGTCGTGTTGGGAATCAACGTGTGCAGATTTGTGATTAGAATTTCTTTCAGACAACTCATAAAGGTGTGTGTATTGGAGGGGGGGGGGGCATCGAAGTAAGTCAACAGTCCCCAGGGACAACATAGAAAAAAGAATTCATTTAAGATAATTTAGATCAGAAAATTTAAACTTCACCAATGTTAGTAAACCCCCCTAACGAAATATGCCCCCCCCCCAACCAATGTTGCAAACGTCCCACGGAGAAATGTTTTTAGTGCGTGTTAGATGTTGCTCTCATCTCTCGCCATACCTCACAACGCATTGAGGTTTAGTCTTTATTATACCTGCACACACACATACGCACACACACACATATACACATACACAAAAACGCACACACAGACACTATATATATTTATGTGTTTATTTAGTTAGATTTATGTATATGTACATGCCTTTATTTGTCAATAAACCAGTTACCACTCAGAATACAGAAACTTTTAGTTTCAGTTTTAGAGGTTGGGACTGGATTAGGCCGAAGATAGCAATCCCGCATCACTAAACTTTCGGAATGTTCGAGTAAAGTAAAACCATGGTACTTGTAGCGAGACACGTTCCACATACACACCTGTGTTCTGTTTGTCTTACCACATACATCTTCGTGCAGCCACATTTTTCATGTGGTTTTCAATGCCACAGTCAGTTAGCTGATGCTTTCACTTGAACTTACTTTAGTTACATGTACACGACATTTTGCTTCCTTTAGCTGATGGGTAGAACAATTCTATTATTCTAATAAGGAATTTTAATAATTATTTTTTATTTCGTGTAGAAAAGATGTTATAAATTTTAAACCCGTGTTGTACTAATGACAGTAGGCTACTTAATCTGAACCAGGCATCGATGTGTGCTATTTATAGAGCACCGCCATGACAGACAATACTCAGGTTATTCGGAAGTAGGTCGGCTGTGACGTCGCTGAGAGACTAGATGTGTACTTAAAGGTGACACGGTTTTACGGATCAGCTCCCTTGTGTAACACACAGGCGACAGATTATATCTCGTCGTTTTAAATGTATTAATCCAGGACAGTGTAGGTTTACTTGTGTCAGAGTTAATCTAGAATGATCTTTTGCTTTCACATTTTGGGTTATCTAATATATTTAAAAATAATATTTAATGCATTATTAAATCATTGCACTGAAAAATAAACACACGCATCGATATGTGTTGTTGTTGTACACATAATTAATTAGTGGCATTAAGTTTTGTAAATCAAATTTAGAAGCTATTTTTTAAAGTGCTACATTTTTTTGCCAGTTCTCAATAAAAGAATTTCCCTACAACGAAAAGCTTCGTATATTGAAAAAAAAACATGTAAAAAAAAACGATGTGAAGATAACATTAAAAATAGACGAGTCCTACACACAGTGAAACAAAGAAAATTGAAGAAGAGAGAAACACAATAACATAGATTTATTTCGGAAGGGGGACATCCCTTCACGAAGCACGTGCTACCGACCCAACTTCCCCAAACGAAATAGAATTTATATGAAAAAAAATATACTTTTACTACTGTCTGCCCCCCCCCCCCCCCCCAAGTTTCAAAAGTCCCCCCCCAGGGAAAGTCTGAAAGAAACACTGCACATGTAGTCCTGTAGTCTAACAACTTTAGTCACTGGTAGATCACTTGTTAGATACATTCATAGAAAAATAAACCTTTACTAATGCATTTAAAAGAAAATCTTCAAGACAAAATGTTATAACTTTAATTTAAATAAATATTTTAAATATAACACTATATAACAACAATTAGTTTTAAAACCTATCAATTTAGAATATATTCACACATCAGCTAAATAAAAGTTCAATCGACATAGAAAATAACCGAGCATATATTTGAGATGTCACCAAATTGCTCAGCATAGCTCTCGGTCCTCACACACAGCTGCTGGGAGACCTTACGGTGTAGAAAAAAGTATCTGGGCGGTCGGTTTCTCTTGATCATGTCCCTGTGGTTGATACAGATCGGACCCTGGATGAAACTAAAACTTTCAAACTCTCGCCACTCAGGCATATAAAGGCTTCCGGTACGGCACAACCGTACGACAGTTTTCCATTTCTCCAAAACCTCGGAGTCTTTATAATCTCGTAGGTCAAGGCCGTTGTTAGCCTCCCTGTCCAGTAAAGGGTTGGGCACTCTGAAGACAATCACAGCGTAGTCGTCCTCGTGTTTCTTGTGGGCCCATCTCAAGGCGTGCTTGAAGTCGTGGTACAAATAAAAACCGTCTTTGTGGGAAAAATTCTGCTTCGGCTTGCCACTGTTTAGGTCTATGCCGTAGGTTAAAATAGACGCAGCATTTTCAGAACTTGTTCCGTGGTAGAGAAGAGTGTGGTCTGGCATTGAAAATCTTTCTTCAACGGTCGCTCGTTTTAGACCCACGTTTCTTCCTGGGCCGGCGTCTTTAACCATGACGTCAACGGGAGACGTTTTTAAAGTTTTAGTTTGACGTGAGTTTCTTGTTATTGTTTTCTTAACAAACACATCTCTAACACTGACGTCATTTATGATGTTCAGCAGCATTTCAAATGTTCAACGATAAATTTAGTTTAGCTGAATCGCTAAATTCTGTCAAATAAAAATTGTTGAATTAAGATGCAGTTTGTTAGGTGGTATTCATGAAAAATAAAAACAAATAAAAACAAATTTAAATAATATTTTAAAGTTTGATTTTATATTAAGCTCTCATTATCATCTATTTTACACCTTATTATTATATGAATGTCCGATTAATGGAAGAATTTCCGTTTCTTTCAACGGGTTTGTTACCAGTTTAAAAATGAAGAAAGAAATGTTAAGTGATGTCCCTTTGTTTAATAAAAACACATGCTAATTGGCTTTTAGAATTCGATGGAGTCAATTAGTAATTAGGCTTGTGATTGAATTATAAATTATAAAAAAAATATTCTTGACCAGATCAGAACTCGGTCAAACAAAGACACCGACCTAGATCTAGATTTAAGCAACAGTAAGGTCAGACAAACTGAGAAACTCTACTTTATCTGCCTTTATGAAATTATTAAAAATATATCCTACTTACATTGCGACAGATGTTAGGGAAAAACTAGATTATGTTATGCTTACAGTTGCATGAAAATGGTGGTGGAGATTGTTGCCAATGTTTTCACCTACCTCCGTACGGCAACACACAACTTTCTGTGACAAATCTGTGTCACAGCGATACAGAGAATTGATCCAATTCCACTTAGTGAAACAACGAAACCCAAACTAGCTGGATCAGATCGGTAAAATCCGTTCAAGTCGATACCAAAACATATCTTTTAAAAGTGATATTTTGATAGGCTTACACTTTTCATTTACTAGTAAACAAATTACATAACTATGATATTAACGTATACCTAAAGTAAATATAATTTTTTTTTTGTCGAAAATTTCGCAAACTGCAACACTTGTGTTGAAAATAGTTTCTTTAGACATTCGACTGGTGAAGTGGATTCGTAGCTGCGTTTCGCGAGTTTGCTGGTTTGTTTTTATACCCCTCTTTTGCTTATTAACTTTTTTTTCGACACTTATTACACCAAATTGTGTTGACGAGACTTGTGTGTAAGAAATAGTGTGTTGTAAATAATCTGGGAGATGAGTGTGTGTGTGTGTGTGTGTTTCATGGGTGAATGAACTCAAGTATTTTTAGTCGGCCAGCAAGGGAAACAACCACCGCCGTGTTAGACAAGGAAGTCAGTATAGAGGGTATGTTACATAATAGGGAGGTCATGGGTTAGGGAGGGTAATTATAATTATTCTTATTATTCTTATCATTCTTATCATTATCATTATTATTAATTATCATTGTTATTAATTATCATTAGCATTAGTTATCATTAGTTATCATTATCATTATCGTTAGCGTTAGCGTCAGCGTTAGCGTCAGCGTTAGCGTCAGCGTTAGCGTCAGCGTCAGCGTTAGCGTCAGCGTTAGCGTCAGCGTTAGCGTCAGCGTTAGCGTCAGCGTTAGCGTCAGCGTTAGCGTCTTATTATTCTTATTATTCTTATCATTCTTATCATTCTTATCATTATCATTATTATTAATTATCATTGTTATTAATTATCATTATCATTGTCGTTAGCGTTAGCGTCAGCATCAGCGTCCGCGTCAGCGTCCGCGTTCTCGTCCGCGTTCTCGTCCGCGTTAGCGTTCGCGTTAGCGTTCGCGTTAGCGTTCGCATTCGCATTCGCATTCGCATTCGCATTCGCATTCGCATTCGCATTCGCATTCGCATTCGCATTCGCATTAGCATTAGCATTAGCATTAGCATTAGCATTAGCATTAGCATTAGCATTAGCATTAGCATTAGCATTAGCATTAGCATTAGCATTAGCATTAGCATTAGCATTAGCATTAGCATTAGCATTAGCATTAGCATTCGCATTCGCATTCGCATTCGCATTCGCATTAGCATTAGCATTAGCATTAGCATTAGCATTAGCATTAGCATTAGCATTAGCATTAGCATTAGCATTAGCATTAGCATTAGCATTAGCATTAGCATTAGCATTAGCATTAGCATTATTTAATCAAAACAATTTCAATTAAATATTCTAATTTGTTTTGAATTAAAACATTGTTGTATTTATATGTTCAGCGTTGAGTTTTGTAAATAATAATAATATATCAATTGGTAAAAAGTCAAAACTCCGCTTTTATATAAAAAGGTTGAAATTCAAATATAAAAAATATAACGTGGCCTCTGTCATTTACCAACTATCAAATAAAATCTTTTAACACATTCAACTATAGAAAAAACATCACCTAAAATAATATAGGCCATTAAAATTGTTTAGAAGCAATTATTATTTATTTAAAGTTTTTAAAATAATTATTTGAATGTTAGCATAAATCATATACTTAAAGCTAAGAATACTCACTTTTATATTTTCAGATGTTTCCTTTATTGAGGGGTCGGTCTTAATTAGGGCTAATTTTTATTGCAATCTCAAATAAAGTTTCATAAAATACAAATTCAATTTTTTTGTTTCTAAAAAATAAACGAAAGTGAAATTGGATTTTCCCGATGTTATATGTTTCACAATAGTTTTTGTTACCTTAGTGTGACGTTATCTTCAAAGATAAAGATTCAAATCTATTAAACATTTTATTTACCAAGTAAATCGATGGATTTAATATTTAACAGCTGTGGATTATGTTCTTAGATAGAATATAATGATATCTTCCATGTAAGTGTTTGACTACCATCCCACTTTCTGTTAGACTACCATCTTACTAAGTGTTTGACTACCATCCCACTTTGTGTTAGACTAATATCCCATTGTTAGACTACCATCTCAGTAAGTTCTAGACTACCATCTCACTGTTAAACTACCATCCAACTATTAGACTACCATCTCATTTTGTGTTAAAATACCATCTCACTTTGTGTTAGACTACCCTCCCACCGTTAGACTACCATCTCAATGTTAGTCTACCATCCAACTGTTAGACTACCATCCCAGTAAGTGTTAGACTAACATCCCAGTAAGTTCTAGACTACCATCTCATTTTGTGTTAGAATACCATCTCACTTTGTGTTATACTACCATCCCACCAATTGTTAGACTACCATCTCACTGTTAGACTACCATCCCAATGTTAGTCTACCATCCAACTGTTAGACTACCATCCCACTAAATGTTAGACTACCATCTCAATTTGTGTTAGACTACCATCCAAGTAAGTTCTAGACTACCATCTCATAGTTAGACTACCATCTCACTTTGTGTTGAATACCATACCAATAAGTGCTAGACTACCCTCCCACTGTTAGACTACAATCTCAATTTGTGTTAGACTACCATCCCACTAAGTGTTACAATACCATCCCACTAAGTGCTAGACTACCATCCCACTAAGTGTTAGACTACAATCTCAATTTGTGTTAGACTATCGTCCCACTAAGTGTTACAATACCATCCCACTAAGTGCTAGACTACCATCCCACTAAGTGCTAGACTACCCTCCCACTGTTAGACTACAATCTCAATTTGTGTTAGACTACCATCCCACTAAGTGTTAGAATACCATCCCACTAAGTGCTAGACTACCATCCCACTAAGTGTTAGACTACAATCTCAATTTGTGTTAGACTACCATCCCACTAAGTGTTACAATACCATCCCACTAAGTGCTAGACTACCATCCCACTAAGTGTTAGACTACAATCTCAATTTGTGTTAGACTACGGTCCCACTAAGTGTTACAATACCATCCCACTAAGTGCTAGACTACCATCCCACTAAGTGCTAGACTACCCTCCCACTGTTAGACTACAATCTCAATTTGTGTTAGACTACCATCCCACTAAGTGTTACAAAACCATCCCACTAAGTGCTAGACTACCATCCCACTAAGTGTTAGACTACAATCTCAATTTGTGTTAGACTACCATCCCACTAAGTGTTACAATACCATCCCACTAAGTGCTAGACTACCATCCCACTAAGTGTTAGACTACAATCTCAATTTGTGTTAGACTACCATCCCACTAAGTGTTAGAATACCATCCCACTAAGTGCTAGACTACCATCCCACTTAGTGTTAGACTACCATCCCACTAAGTGTTAGAATACCATCCCACTAAGTGTTAGACTACCATCCCACTAAGTGTTAGACTACCATCCCACTAAGTGTTAGCATACCATCCCACTAAGTGTTAGAATACCATCCCACCAATTGTTACACTACCATCCCAATGTAAGACTGCCATCTTGCTAAGCGTTTTTCGACATGAGCAACATTGTTCTATTTTAAAATTCTCAAATTTTTACCTGTTTTTATCCATCTTTATTAACATCTTCAACAGCTTTTGCTCGATCTCCCTCTTTCTAGTTCACTTGCGATCACCAATTTAATTGTGACAAATCTTATTTATTGTATGTATTGTTTTATTGAATTATGTAAGCAAGTAGAATGTCTTGTCAGTTGATAATATAAGCCGATTGTCTGGACCGGTTATAATGTAAGCAGAATGTCTGGCCAGCTGATGATGTAAGCAGAATGTCTGGCCAGCTGATAATGTAAGCAGAATGTCTGGCCAGCTGATGATGTAAGCAGAATGTCTGGCCAGCTGATGATGTAAGCAGAAGGTCTGGCCAGCTGATGATGTAAGCAGAATGTCTGGCCAGCTGATGATATAAGCAGAATGTCTGGCCAGCTGATGATGTAAGCAGAATGTCTGGCCAGCTGATGTTTTTGTACATCAAAACAACGTTTCACAGGCTGTTTTCAGAGTAAGAGAGATAATGTGATGTGTGATTTGACAGCGATACCCCAGGTGAAGTACAACAAAGGTGTAGAAGATCTAGATACAAATTAGACGAATAGACTTTTAGTTTAAATATGAAACGTATCGAGTTTTCTGCGTCAGTAATACCATATCATGTAGTTCCATTTTACTTTTGCTGTTTTTATTCATTTGCAATGTTGTTGTTTTTAGTGGTTTTAAAGAATGAATTACGTTGTGATACTTAAAACTATTTCTGTTTTTACCACAACTAAAACGTCGTTATCGGTAGTGTCTGACAAAATTTCATGCGGCTAAAAGTAAAATCCCAATAACATTCAGGATTGACCACTATAAAATATTAGTGGTTATATATATATATATATATATATATATATATATATATATATATATATATATATATATATATATATATATATATATATATATATATATATATATATAATATATATGCATGCATTACTACCCTTTCAATCCGATCGACATTAAATTTTGGGAAGTTATTGAGAATACGCCAGGGGAGGTTCCTGAGAAAAAAAAAATTCAATTTCTTAGGGGCGGCGCCCCGGCAGTTTGCAATTTGGCGCCCCGGTTATTGCATGAGCGCTTTAGTATCTACGTTCGTATTAAACAGCGCTATAGATAATGGATACAATTATAGTCGTTCACTAAACTGAATCAGGGGCGTCCGCCGACGCCCGGGCACGCTAGTTTCTTTATAAGATTATCTACTTTAATAAGATCAGAAAGAAAATATTTTGAGAATTTCGGTCAAAGGGAAATAACATATATATAATTTAATAGATTAAAGATTACCAGAGTTAATTTTCTCTTTTACTATCTCGTATACCAAGTAGGGCTATAGATGAAGTATTGTAATCGTGCAAGAAAAAAAAAAAAAGAAAAAAAAAAAAAAAGAAAAGAAATCGAGATTTTCACCGATCTCGACGTTTTACACCCCCCCCCTTAAGTTGAAAAACATAGATTTTGCAAGCTTGTACTTATGTCTATGTGTGTGTGTGCGTCTGTAAAAACGATAACTTGAGTACCACTAGGTTGATGAAATTTCATATAAGTATTATATCAAATTTGTAGTTCTGTATCAGCTTGTCAGCGATTTCCGGTAACCGTAAGTGGAACTTATTCTACTTTCAAATTTTCAAAAGCCTATAAACTGAATACTGTTTCAAACATGAACGAAATTTCACATATAAGTACAAAATCTACTTTTCTGCCTTTTATCAAATTTTGAGTCATTTTTTCCCTGTTTAAATAAGCAAAATAATTTTTTTCAAATAATTTTTTTTTTCATGAAACAGAAATTTATTACAGGTCCACAGTTTTTGCTATTACCTTAAATAGCGTTTTCATTTTTTTTGCCTATTATTTACTTATAGTTGATGTGAAGTAACACTTTTAAAAAAATTGCTCTTCGTTGTCTGTTCATTTAAAAAACATTAAGACGCGATTTACCTTGTATTAAAAAATAGTCGCCAGACTAAAAACTAAATATGAAGTTACATTTGGTTTATATTATCATAAAAATATCATATTATTATAATATATAATAGAAAAATAATTAAAATAATAATGGGTAGCCCCCTCCATTATAAATAAATAAATAAACCAAAATGACAAAATAACATGTATTACAAACTTTGCTCGTCCTTAAGTATTTTGTTATTTTTAAATTACTTTGTTTGAAAAAAGCAGCAAAAAATAAAGGTTTTAATTAATGCAAATCGTTATTAAAATTATTAAAGATCGTATGTTATTAAAGCTGCATTAAAATTATTTTATACGAATAATTAAGAGCGAAAATATAAAGTTATAGAAGACAAAAAAAAAAAGCAAAACAAAGTAATACAACTCTAGTAAAACTTATATAAGATGGTAAAAACGTTGTTATTTCCCTTAGACCAAAAATTCAATTTAATTAAATTTTTTGACATTTCACTGAAGAGTAAAGAACTAAACCATTTATCGAAAGGCATTTTTTTAAATCAACGTTTCGAACGATTAAATTCCTTCAAAAAAAAAAAAAAAAAAAAAAAAAAAAAACAAAAAAAAAAACAACAACAACAACAAAAAAACCAACAAAAAAACAAATGCAAACAAAATGTAGGAAAAAATCAAAACGACAACTCTAGCAGAACTTAAATAACAATATAAAAACATTGTTACGCCCCTTTGACCACAACCAAAATAATAGAAAAAAATTGATTTCATATTTTTATAGCTTACATATCGTTATATTATATTATTATAGGCCTATTAATTTAGGGAGAAAGGTTAACTAAAATATTATGTTACTTAGGTAAAGGGGTTAACTGACAAAATATTTTAAAAGTTTGATAGAGGAGTTAAATGATATTATATTAATTTTAGCACTAGAGTTAAATGAGATATCATATTAATTTTGGTCGTGGGGTTAACTGATATCAATTCAGGGAATGGTGTTAAATGAAATTCAATTAATTTTGGTAGAGGGCTGAAATGACATATTATATTAATTTAGAGAGACATTAATTAGTTTAGATTGTATGTCGAAGTAATGATTTAGCGCATAGATTTAATTATATTACTCTTGTATCTGTGGTTGTGGGGGAAAGGATTTTTTTATTATAAAAATTAAAAAAAGTTTTAAATAGTAAAAAAAGTGAGTGTTATATATGAACAAAAGCTATATTTGGTATGACTAAAAACATACAAGCCTGGACAATGAGTGAAGAGAATTGAAGATAGGTCATATATTATTTTACAGAATATAAACCTATAAAAGGGAATATATTTTCTGTAAGTGATACTAGCGTATAGCTTAATAAGTAAGTTAACTCCAAATAAAATATATTTTTTACTTTTTTCATTTGAGATTTATTTTCTTTTTAAAGTAAATTGTCTATCTAATAAATCCTTTTAATTAATTAAAAAATTATATATTCTTGCATTGTCATTCAGAATTTACAACTGTGCTAAATTTTAGCTCAATCGGATCATGGGAAGTGGGTTAAATTAATATTCTACCATTGCGGAGTCACAGATTTTTTTGGTGAAAGTAATAAAAACCTTTTTAAAAAATTGGACGACAACTTTATAAAATTGCAATTATCCATTTTTATTTATGTTACACACAATATTATTTTTATGTTAAAAGAGATACTAAAATCATTGTGGAGTTTTTTTTAAATCTAAGTGTTTGATGCATATGTAAATATTTTTGTTGTATGGTATAATTTTCCAAAAGATTTGGTGTGGATGTATTATTTAGGTATATACCAATCAAGGATAATACATTACTAAAACAGCGTGTGGGCTGCCAAGAAACATTGAGTATAATTAATAAAGACGTTGAGAGACTTGGCCGGAAACCGAAACTTGCTGATGTGAGCTTCAAACTCTTGTGACTAAAGCCGCAACATTCAAAGCAGCCACCACTATGTACCAGAAGATAGAACAACCTGAAAAACGAAAGCTGATGTAAACAAAGGAATTTGAAAAATATTGCCTACGATTATTAACGAAATTTCATGTTAAAAGATACCTAGAAATAGCAAACGTATTTAGAATTAGATTTGTTTTAAGCTATGAACACAGCCGTAAAGCTAAATATATTCAAAACAGTGGGACGAGTAAAAAACAACAACCTGAAGTGTCTTAAGAAAAACTCTACAGAAGGAGCACATCGCATGTCAAGGGAATTGTACAGGGGAGGAGCGGATTGTCAAAGTCAAGAACGTCTTTAATCTGATTGACACAATTCTATTGTTCTAGGCAGTTACTTTCATGCAAAGTATTAGAGGTCCACGAATGATAGGAAGGTATATACCATGTATGTTTATGTCCATGTCTAGGTATATGTTAATGCGTTGGGGTGCGTGGGGCGCGGGTGTGTGTGGTTGTAGTTGTAGTATGAATGAGAGTGTACGTGTACGTGTACGTGTACGAGTACGCGTACGCATACGTGTACGCATACGCGTACGTGTAAGCGTACGCGCATGCGTATGTGTAAGCGCACGCGAATGTGTATGTGTATTTGTATGTGTATGACAGTGCGAAACAATAATAGTGTAGAATAGCGTGTACGTTACCGTGTCGCCCTTCTGCGTCGTTTGTTGATGGTAGCTGTACCATAGCTTTGTTCTCGTCTATAAATCAACACAAATATTTCTGTTAAAACAATCAGCAGTCCCTCGCAACTAAAACAACGTGGGGCTTAACTTTGTACAGAATTAAAGATGGTTCAATCTTTTGTTTTTTAAATTATCAATTGCTCATACACATATTTATTCTTCTATAATAAATTACAAATTTTAAAAAATTAATTAAATAACTTACCAACTAGTTTCTTTACGATAAAGACCCTGCTCACTCCTACCATGGCGCTTCTGTTAAAAGCACTGAAGTCTGAAGATAATCGAGCACGGAAACGAAAATTGACACTTTTGAAGGTCACTGTAGGCACAGCCACAACCAATCGCTGGTTGTCATCTGGGTCCCGCCAAGTATTACAGATTGCTTCTATTGGATGGGTTTTTAGTTCATAGGTCCATACGAAATCAGTTTCACAGTCTGCGGGGAATGCACAGCCCTAAAATGATACAATTCAAGGCAAGCATTTACTGAGATAGCAATATTGACTTCCTGGAAACCAAAATGCACTACCATACTAACGTAATAGAATAGTTTTTTTATATTGAATAAAAAATGTAAAAATTACAATTTAGAATAAATGTATATTTTTAAGGATATATTCTTATCCTAAGACAAACGATTCAACTATAATTTTGAAAATATAGTGGTTTTTACTTTTTTGTATATACGAAGTATAGAGAAAGTCTTGTAATCGTGCAAAAAAATAATCGAGAATTTTGCCAATCTCAACGTTTTATGGCTCCCTGATTCGAAAAAACATTTTAGCGATTTCCGATAACCGGAAGTGGAACTTTTTCTACTTTGAATTTTTCAAAAGCCTATAACTTTAGTACTATTTCCGATAGATAAATGACATTTTACACGTAAGTATAAGTTCTAATTCTCTGCCTTCTATCAAATTTTGAGTAATTTCCGTTGACCGAAAGTAGTGATTTACGCTATTTCCGATTTCTCAAAAACGCATGTGAATTTATAAAGTACTAATAATATCCCGCACTATTATGCACATTTTATTTGGCGTTCGCTTGGTGAGCAATTCTTTTTGTTTACGAGATTCTATTAAAATTCTAAAAATTTGAGTAATTAAAAATGAATTTGAAATATTGTCTATGTCCCGAGTTGCCATCCCCCGTAGTGTTATATTAGAATAATCGAGAAAGTTTAGGGGAGGTCACTCCCGGTTTATTTTTTAAGTCCTGAGTTTGTATATTATATTTATAAAGAGTATTTTTAATAGTTTTAGTTTTAATTCGAAGATGGTGTTTATAAAAATAAAGTCTTTATGAAGATGATGTTTATAAAAATAAAGTCTTTATGAAGATGATATTTCAGCAGTCTTTATAAACATGATTTTTAAGCAGTCTTTATGAAGATGATGTTTATAAAAATAAATAAAGATGATGTTTAAGCAGTCTCTATTAAACTACTTGAACAGTTACTATTGACGTGTTGTAAAAACGTGGCATGCAGTGTTTCTTTCAGACTTTTTTCTCCGGGGGGGCACTTGAAATCTTCGGGGGAGGGGCGGTAAACTTTCTTCGGGGGGGCGGACGCCGTTAAAAGTATATATTTTCTATATAAATTATATAAATTTCATTTCGTTCGGGGGGGCGGTAAAAATTTTTCGGGGGGGGCTTCGCCCCCCCGAAGAGATGCCTGGAAGAAACTCTGGTGGCATGCGACTCATCGATACTGGAGCACATTGCTCTAACACCACAACAAGAGAATCGATACTGGAGCACATTGCTCTAACACCACAACAAGAGAATCGATACTGGAGCACATTGCTCTAACACCACAACAAGAGAATCGATACTCGAGCACATTGCTCTAAGACCCCAACAAGAGAATCAATACTGGAGCACATTGCTCTAACACCACAACAAGAGAATCGATACTGGAGCACATTGCTCTAACACCACAACAAGAGAATCGATACTGAAGCACATTGCTCTAACACCACAACAAGAGAATCGATACTGGAGCACATTGCTCTAACACCACAACAAGAGAATCGATACTGAAGCAGATTGCTCTAACACCACAACAAGAGAATCGATACTGGAGCACATTGCTCTAACACCACAACAAGAGAATCGATACTGGAGCACATTGCTCTAACACCACAACAAGAGAATCGATACGATACTTCTGGTTCCCAGAGTTTTTTTGCGTGGTTTTATTGTGTTTTATTGTGTTTTATTGTGGTTTTATTGCAATTTTATTGTGTTTTATTGTGGTTTTATTGTGGTTTTATTGCAATTTTATTGTGTTTTATTGTGTTTTATTGTGGTTTTATTGTGGTTTTATTGTGGTTTTATTGTGGTTTTATTGCGGTTTTATTGCAATTTTATTGTGTTTTATTGTGTTTCATTGTGGTTTTATTATGGTTTTTTCCATTATTCTGTTCTTGGCCGATTATTCAATGAGTTTTAGCATAGTTTCTTTCTGATAAAAGTAAAAGTACATTGCCCGCATCAAACCAAATTTATTTATCCTGTCTATAACTTTGTCCATGTAATCTACAGGATAACTTTGCATTGCATGCTTGTTTGCTTTAGTGTTACAATATTTATCGGTGGCTTATCAAATCTATTATGTATGCATTATAGATAGACTTTTTCTGACATGTAGTTTCAGTAGAAACCGAAACTTCTCTAACTAAAAAAACAATACACTTACCGAGGCCCAACCGTCAATGTTCTGACAATCAACATCGTCACCATTGCAGTAATCAAAGTACAATGTGTTGCACTGATCGTTGGACATGAGCGTTTCTTTGAGGTGATAGTAAAAGAAAATGGTGGTCATCCCCAGGGTGATACACTGTTCACAATCCGGTTCAAACTTTAGCAACTCAACCGC